TATATATATATATATATGAAAGGTGAACGCTCTACCACTATAGCTCTGATTCTTGGTTTTGTGATTCACTTCATAGGACTTTTACTCAGCACTATTTCTAAGTAATTCAAAGTCTTACGTGAAAGGCCACTTTGTTATACTTGTGTCATCTTAAGCCTCTTAAAAAGTTGACCAAATGTACCGAAAATTTGCGAATCTTGGTTAAGAGTCTACTATTGTTCGTTTTTTAAATATTTTGTTGAATTTGGAGCTGTTGGCATCTTCACGTTTTCACTAGTTACATATTTACAGTATTCGTCCATCTCTTACACTCATTTTTCAATTAGCTATGAGCATTGTTATTTTTTTAGATTATTTAGTAAGGCTTTTATTTATTATAATGCCTAATCATAATATTATAAGGCTTTAATAATGCTTTTTATTTGTTTTTTTCTTATAATTGACAGGAATCTACACAAAATGAGCTGACATTGAGCAACGTTGCTGGTTGTTTTTACATTCTCATTGGTGGATTAATATTAGCAATGGTTGTTGCACTCATCGAATTCTGTTATAAAGCCAGACTGGAAGCAAAAAGGGCAAAAGTATGTATAATTTCTTCGAATTGCAATTATAAAAAAGAGTTATAGAAAAGTTGCAGTGCCAAATGACAAAATAAAGAACAAAGTAATTTATTCAGCTTATTTTTTTATAACTGCTAAATAAAATATTAATGCAACACAGATAATTGCTTTGCAAACATAGATTTGAATACGAAAATATAGCGCGTTAATCATTTAATGATTCTATAAAAACGTACAGAGATTGAACAAAAATATGAAAAATTTTCAGTACTTTCTACAAGCAACATTTCCTTTAGCAGCAAATGTTTTTAAAGACTTTTACACGTCAAAACTTTTGGCTCAGTTCAAACTATTATGCATGAAACTTTTCAAAAATGGCGTCATTTTTGCCAATGCAAAATTTTGATAGATCAAAACGAGGAGAAGAAGCTAACAACCTCTCTTTAGTTTTTATACCAACAATTTTGAAACCAATCAATATGATTTCAACATTTATATTAGAATGATTTTTGAATTATAGTGGTAGTAAAAAAGGTAAGAAGATTTTAATGGTAAAAAGGACCCGATATTTAAAAGCTTCCAGCATGATCTTCCAAATTCAGCCAACAGGTTTGGTGTGTTAAATCTTACTAAAAATTTGCCGCAGAAAGAAAAACAAATGTGTGGTGTTAATATAGGCGTGCTTTCATATTTTTGTCCAAAAAAGACAGATTGAAAAAAGACAAATTGCATTTTTGCTTGCTTTTGTGTGTTTTTTTTCCTCTTTAATTTTTGTTTTAAGGTCATTCTTACTAATTTACTTCTTATCATGATGGATAACGATAGGTAACTTAACATAATAAACTTTTTGTTCGCGTTTTGATGAGACTTTCCAATACTGGGTGCAGGTTCTTAGCCACTAAAAGAATTTCACTAAGTGGATATAACGAAATTCCACTGATATTTTAAATATTTTGGGAAGTAAAAACATAATTAATGGCAATTATGAAATTAAAGTGTAAATATTCACAGGATATTAATTAGTTTACATGTTTACTTTATGGCATTTCTTGTACTTTAAGGTACCACCTTTGAAATTTTAAAAGGTTAAAAAGTTGTAAAACTATTCCATTCTAGTATTCAACTCAATATTTTTTTTAAGAACGTTTCATTGCTTTTACATCTTTTAAATTATTGACCGGATTCCTGGAATTATATACAACAGTTAACTGTAAACATGGCGAGAAAGGCTTATTTTAACTCAACAATGCACTTTTTTTTTGCAATACGTATACACTAGAGCCGCGATTGTTCAGGGGATAAAGCGGTCGCCTTCCAATGAGGCGAAGCAGGTTCGAATCCCAGTCGATACGAATTCCGCATCCAGCTTGCACCGACCACAGTGCAGACGTGAAATATCCTCAGTGGTAGACGGATGATGGGTTAAAGTCCTCTTGCTGTCAAGCTTACCGTGGGAGCTTCTCGTTGTCTTCCTCTCCATGTAATGCAAATGCGGTTTAGCTCCATCAGAAAGTCCTCCACGAGGGCAAATTTCTCCCAGCACTGGATCCAGGAGTTGTCTTGTCTTCTGGATGAGGTTCAAAATTACAAGGCTACGGTGTAGAACATTAGTAGTAGTAAGCCCATAAAATTGGGTCTGCTGTTCAACGACAGTTATAATATAAAATATAAAATACGTATACACTAAGGCCGGGATAGCCTGGTTGGTATGGCACTGGGCCCATGTCCAAGGACTCGTGGGCTCGATCCCCGCCGGCCGAAGTGTCTCCGTGTAGTAAATGGTGACTGATGCACGTTAAGTCTGTCGAGTAGCAAAGTCCTCCCATAACAAATGAGTACCCCTTGGGGTATTGATCCAGGAGTTTCCTTGTCTTCTGGATTGGTTCAAAATTTCAGAGCTACGGAGTTTAACATTAGTAGTCCTGAACCCAAAATTAGGTCAGCTGTTCAACGACGGATATGAAAAAAGTACCTATGCACTATTTTTACGTCATTCAATTTAACGAGCAAAAATAACACAGGGGAGCACATTTTTTGTTCCTACATTTATATAAATACTTGATCATACATAATTCGGGTGCGGGATTCTGAAAATAGTTATGTTAGGACATCTAGATATCTTTTGAAAGAATATTTTTGGTTTATTTTATGTTTTGTCTGACTGCACAAGTTTGTAAAGAACGTATTGGTTTGTATTCACCGAGATACACTTGTCTTATCATTTTAAAATAACACTTAAGACAAAATACATATGACCTTAATGTATCCCATCATAAACTTAAATATGTTATCGCCTTTTTGCGAAAACTTCCTTCGTAGCCTAGAAACGGTAGTACTTAGTTCTAAATAGCACTTAATATTCACTTGAGTGACTTTAAAAAAAATCTTTTTCGGACTATATTATAAATTTGCATAAAAATTGCAGCTTTTGGAGCAATAGAGTTTTATCAGAAGATATTTTCTATGGAGCTCTAGCAAATTCGATATCAAGGATGCGAACATGTCCACAATCTGTTAAAATATCTCATACAACTGAAAACAATAAAGCAAAAAAATTCTGCGTGTGACCAATAAAATCAAGTATCAGAAATTTCTGACATTTTTGAATGTCTGTAGAAAAAATGAATATTTGGCATAAAAAATATTATAATGTCGCCAATTTCGGCATCTGTAGAAACACATACAGACAAAGCAGTAGGTTATTCAGCGCACGTGCTATGAAATTAATGTGACCCCAAATTTATAAAATAATAGAAAAATGCTGGCAATATTTTCCTTTCTCAAATAAAAAGCTAAGAAAAAAAACATTTTACTACACTTTTTCTGACTGTTTGAATTCAGTGGATGATGCTGTCTTGCATTAATCGAACTTTAAAAAACATACTTATTAGTCATGAAGTTATTTTTTTTATTTATTTAACTTGTTCGTATTAAAAAAAAACCTTAAAAAGTATTTTATTAAAAAAAAAACTGAATAGAACACATTTCTCATTCATATGCTACCATTCCTTTCATATAACAAGCAGTTTGAAGCAATTGACTACAGATTTCTTACGGCTGGTAATATTTTTGGTATAAATGTCGCCAGCGACACCACACAGGCGGAGATGCCAACTGCTCCGGACGCGCCATAATAATTTAAAAAACGGTAAACAACTACAAACTAAAATTTGCAGATATTGTATTAATTTTGCTTACTTTTTAAACGGTGGATCATGACTTGACTGGAGTAAAGTGGCGAATTATATAAACGTTCGAATTATTTAGAAATAGTGGTAGATTGAAAACGGATTGAAAAAATTTACCTATTGAAAAAAAAACCTATTGAAAAAATTTACACTTGACCAAGAATCATGCAGTAATAAACTACCACTCGAAAATATTTATTTGCTGTCCGGAGCAAGTTGGCATGTCTGCTTAGGTAGGTCACACTGAGGAAGCAACCAGTAAGAAAGATGGATACAGGAGGGAAATTCCCATACTTTTACATTAAGATGCGCAGAGGTTATGTGCGCATGTTAATGGATGCGCAGAGGTTCTGTGGGTATGCTTATGGAGGCGCAGAAGTGTTATGCGCTTGCTAATGGAGAAGTATAGGAATCTGTTTCTCTTATGCCTCTAACTTACAGCTCGTTTCCTCATTGTGTGGCCTGCCTTATACCACACTCGGCCACAATACTTCAAAAAGGATAAATGATATTTAGCAGCAAAATCTAATTTTTGAGAACTTTGAATTTTTGGCATTAGCTTTCACGTCAGAAAAACAATTTCAAAACCTTGGCTTGCGGATCTATAGGATGTGAGCATAACGAACTATAGTACTTTTAATATTATTACTAACACTTTTTAAAAGTTTATTCAGGCGAGTACAAAGTCTGTAATAATTTGTAAAGCTCCATTGTTATACTGGCTAGAAAAATACACTTGCCCATTAAAGATTAACTTATCAAATTCGTTAATTTGACAAACCATTTCAATTTTTTTAATGAATTTCCAGTAATATGTTTTTCAACTAATGAAATTTGCTTTATCTATATTGAGCCGAGAGTAAGAGAAAATGAGAAAGAAAAGGAAATTAAGTAATCAAAATTCTAAAATCGGTACTTTCATCAGTTTTTGCTTTTAGTTTCGTTAAAACAAATTTTTATTTTGCAGGTAAGCATGCTTGATGCTATGAAGACAAAAGTACGTTTGTCGATTTCCGGTGATCCAGATAGAGATAACGGAAGGGTACGGACTGGCTCTGTATAATTGGTACTTACAATTGGTATACATTTTGTCCATGCCTAAACTCTGCTTCCGCTTTTTTGCAACCTATTTTGCTTTTAATTCGGCTAATATTTTGCTGCACAGTTGCTAGACTATTAGGCTTCCAGCTTTCAAATAAAGAGAATAGTATCGGATTGGCTTGGTGTAATCGGTTTTACAATTGGAAAACATTTTGTCCATGCCTAAACTTTATTTCCGCTTTAATGCGACTTATTTTGCTTTTAAATCATCTTATTTTTCAGCACAGTTGTCAGGTTATTAGACGTTCAATTCTTAAATGAAGAATATGGTAGGACATGTAGAGCAAAATTACCACTCGTCATCGATTACAAGTTGCTAAAAAATTTGTTTATGGATCACTATCCAGTGACTATTTTTTCCTCCTAAAATTTGCCTCACATGCTTGAAAATACGTGATTTCAACTTCTAGTATAGATAATTACATAGAAAATCTTTCTTATTTCCTAGAAAATTCAGTTTCTTTAACCCTCCGCGTACGGCTCCTGCGATTTGAGCGAGGTATCTGTTTCATCCCCCACAACGAGTCACTTGTAAATCGCGGGAGAAGAAATTTTTCCCCTGATTTCAATAGGGATCTCGCCATTTCCCTGTGTACGACCATCATCTGATGCTTATTTTCGCTACTAGGTGGCACTAGAGGGTTCGGGAATTTCGCAAATTATATAGAAAAATTCGTTGAAGGAAGATAGTAACGCCTACTTTTTAATATAGTAACCAGTAGATTGATGCTTTAACGTTGCATTTCATATCATACTTATAATTTTTGATATTTAGTGGTGAAAAAGCTACTTAAAATGAAAAATATTAAACAAAAAGTAGCTTAAAAATCGCCCCGTATATCTGGACTGGAAAGTATAAAAACTGAGCCGAACGTGGAGGGTTAACACTGTTTTATAATTTTAGATGGGATGAATTTGGATATAAATGTTTCCTTGTTGTTCTTAAAGAATATGCTAGAACAAATTGGGCAAAATTAGCTCTCACCTCCGGCTATAGGTTAATCAAAAATTTGTTTGTGAATCACTAACTGATAACTACTTTTTTTCACCGAAATTATACCCCATATCCTTGAAAACACGTGATATCAACTTCTGGTATTGTTACTTACACGTAAAAGCTTTCTTATTATCTAGAAAATTAAGTTTTTTCTTTTTTCAACACTGTTTTACAAATTTAGAGGTGGTGAATTCGGTAATAAATGTTACATTCGTAATCTTAAATAAATAATATACTCAAACATGTAGGGCGAAATTAACGCTAACCACCGGCTACAGGTGGATCAAAAATTTCTTTATGAATTGCTGCCCGATGTCTACTTTTTTCACCGGAAATGTACCCCATATGCTTGAAAACACGTGGTTCCAAACTACGGTATTGTTAATTAAACGGGAAAGCTTTGATCTTTCCTAGAAGACTCATTTTTTTAACACTGCTTAAAAGTTTCAGTAGGTGAATTTGGCTACCAAATGCTTCATCTCAGAAAAAAGGGCATTTAAGCTAATTTCCCATATTTTTTTTTCTTTTTCGTTTTTAAAAGTTATGGCCGATAATGTTCAAAAACATGTAACTAATCTATAATAATTTCATCATTATGATTCCAAATATTTTTGAATTATTTGACTATTAAATGTTAATTAATAACCATAAATATTATTAGTTCAAAAACTCAAAACATAAATTTCGTTAGTTGAGAACGTTACATACACTATTTAAATTTTACATAAACCTGCCCCTAGTGATCGAGAAAATTGTTCTTCAATTTAGCGATGAACATTGTAGTATTTATCATACTTGAAGAAATACTTCAAAAAGCGTTTTACAAATAATATGAATAGGTTTTGAAAAAGTAGTCAAACATGTTTTCGAGAGTGGTCACTGTTAACGTTGCAACTACTAACCACTGCTCGATAACAAAATTTCATAATTCTTCATTAAAGCAGAAGATATATCGTCGAAAATACTAAGGTGCTTATTGAATGATCAGTGTTCTATAGTTCGTTCATCAGGAGTTGGCACTTGACTCCGCCTTCATCACGTGGTATCGGATGATACTATTTCGCTATTTTGGGGAGAAGGATATGAATAAGGCTGCTATTTGGCGATCGTATGACAAAAATATTTATTTCGCAATCTTCATGAGCACATTTTGAACATGTGCATTTTATTTCATAAACTTGTTGATATTTCTCTCTTTCTACTGAATAGTTTGTTCTTTATGAGATATTTTGCTGGGAAAAAGTTTTTAAATATAAATTAGTTAGAATAACGAAAGGTATAATAGCTGATGATAAAGCGAAGCAAATGGCTGAAAAAGAATTCACTGTTTGTGCTTGGCCATCACCTTCTACATCAAAAAGCCTCCATAGACATATTTTTAGACATATATTTGCTACCACTTTTTTATTTTTACTAGATTTTTCTATTAAAGGGCTCTTTCGCAAACTGGTTTGCCTTCATAGTGGTCTGATTGGACTACCTATACAAAACCGTGTGGAGGCTATGCGCTCATTTTTTATATTATAACCGCCGTTGAACAGTCGACCCATTTTCTGGGTTTACGACTACTAATGGTCAACGCCGTAGCCTTGTAATTTTGAACCAATCCAGAAGACAAGGGTACTCAAGGATCGGTACCCCCAGAGGTTACTTTGCGCGCATTAAAGGTTACCTCGATTTCAAGCGGAGAAATGTTTTTCCGCTTACTCCCCCGCGCTGAAATGAACTCCGCATCTGAGGAAATGGAGCCAAGTGCCAACTCATGGTGAATGAACTATACCTAAGCGTTTTACGAGAGTCTCCTACAACTAAAAACCTCTCCACGGCTCTTTCTAGGTAATCCAATCAGACCACTAAGAAGGCAAACTTTTGCTTTACTTTATTTGAATACAACTGGGCACCTGGGCCGCGCAGCTGCCCCTATCCCATTCATCATGAAATTACAAAAATGAGTTAAAAACATTTTGAAAATAAGCAGTCGTTGTGGTAGCTAAGAAGGCAAACTAGTTTACGAAAGAGCCATTTAATAGAAAACCTAGTGAAAATAAGAAAATGGTAGCAAATATATGTCTAAAAATTTGTTTCATTTATGAATATGATTGGTTTGTCTTATTCACTTGCATACCAGCCAACTTTTAATCCCTTCCATTATGACTTTTCTCAGTGGTATTAAAATGGAACTAAAATTTCAATTTCTAACAAAGAAATACGTTGTATTTGAAAATGTGTCTTCATGTGTCTTGATTAGCATTAAGAGATTCAAATTTTGGATTGTTCTCCAAACAAAACTATAAGAACCATATTTCCCAAATAACTGCTACCTCCTCTATTTTGGGGGTCAGGAATCATAATGTGTCAAAAAAAGGTTTATTTATTTCAAAGAAAGTACATTTTTGTGTTTGATTTCGCAACTTAACACTCTCACGCCGGGAAAAGTGCAAATACTGGTACGGGAAAAGAGAAAATACTGGTAGAAGAACTATTTCAATAATAGATAATATTCGGGAGGAGTTAATCTATTCTCAACAATAACAATTCACTGTAAGGAAATTTATCACGGCGAAGAAGCAATTCAATATAAAAATTGCATCCGTTAAAAACAATTGGTAGTTATGGAGTTTTATTATTCCCGGAAAAAAACTAAAAATTGAAATTTAGTGTTACCAGTTTTTACTCCGGTGCACTGCCAAGATGAAACAATCTAGCGAGAACCACCGGTGGGTCAACCCGGCGTGAACGTGTTGAACTAACTACCATGATAGTAATACGTTAAATTAGTCATTTTTTTGAACAATTAAAAACAATTCAAGTCTGGACGCTTTTGTGTGAATGTATTTATCATTTTAATATTGTTGAAAATGTTTTCAGTACAATGAATCTTTTTTAGGATTTAATTTAACATTACACCTTAATAACAGTATTTCTTGACATCTTTGATAAAAAATTTTAATTTAAATTAACTTTAAACTTGTGAACTTAAATTTAATTAACTTTCAATTTTTTTGTACCATTTGTCCGAAAGAGCGCTAAGATAGCAAAATGAACACATTTAATAAAATCAATGTATTTGTCCCTTAAACGACTCGCTCTGTTTTTTTGAAACTTTCTTCTTGGCTGTATTTGGTAGCAATTATAATCCAAACTTTTTTTTAAACCAATAAAATTTGTTATCTGAACTAAAAAAAAAGTACTTGAAACTGTTTTTTTAAAATTAAGAAATTCCAAATAAGAGAGCTGTTTGTTAAAGACTACTGGTTTGAAAGCTAGTAACTCGGAAGTCCTAGCTTCCAGGAATTTTTAAATTGGTAACCAAATATCAATTTAAAATTACTAAATATGTTTACTTTCGTCCGCATTTAAAAACATTCCTACACAATTCTTAGGTTAGTTATAAATGCTTAAATTCTGTGTTTATAATTATGGACAGAATCATTCTAAATTAAATTTAATAAATTAATAAATGTAAAATCATTAAAATTGGCAATTTCTCTAATTATTCAAATAAAAGTTTTCCGATAGAAAGGCGCAATTTGGAAGGTATGACATTTTTCTTCCTTCCAAAATTTTTCAAAATCTTATTGGTAGCTTGGTAACATAATAATAATTTAGGTACGACGTTGCATTTTTCCGCTTCATTTGCTGTTATAGAATTTAATTTTTTAATGTTGAAAATTATACCAATTCGCAGAATAAACAAAAAATTACAGCCAGATATTTCAGTGAGAAACATTAATACTAATATTTTAACACGACATGTTGCGTGTGAAACGTGGGTACGCGACTTTGAAAATTGAAGCTCTCATTCTGGAAAATCTGACGTTACTCTATAACAATTACAGGTCGCAGGTTTCCTTTTTACGAAGACTTGTTCAGTGTCATTATATTTCGCACGAAACTACAATTTCATATTCAGTGCACGATTTTTGTCACATACTCTCTGTGAATATTACAGATTAAGTTCTTGACAT